TTTTCCATTTGGTTCACTTTGGTCCCCAAACTTTATTTCATTTACCATTTGACATTGCTTTCTTCTCCTTCTTCTTCTAACATTCTATGACATTACAATGTATTATTTATCTCAATTCCATGCTTGATTCGCCATTCGGGTTATCTTCTAAATAATTGCATTTTGATCCCTGAACTTTGATTTCGTTCATTTTGGTCCTTTTTCAGTCATTTTTGCATACATTTCATTCCATCCATCAATGTAGTCCTATAAGCACAACTTATATCGAATTAAGCCATATTCAACATATTTATTAACAATAGTCCATTTTTGTCGCATATAATAAGTGTGTAAAAACGCACTTATCAACTCTCCCAAACTTGAACTATTATTTGTCCTCAAACAAAATTGTAACTTAATCTCTCTGGGGTGGGTAAAGGATCTATCAGCCAGTTGCAGAGTCATCGTTGTTACTTTAACCTCTCCCAAACCGAGTTTCCTAAAAATAGACAGTGGCATCATGTTAATACTAGCACCAGTATCACATAAAGCATTAAAAGTACCAGTTTGTCCATAACTTTCACCATTCCATTTTGAGGGACCTAGGAACTCAAACCCTCCGTTAAAGAAAACATTAGTTGCACTGCTTTCCTCTATCAGGGCCACAGTTTCATATTCTGGAAGCTTTGTCTTCTTCGATATCATGTCCTTCAAAAATTTTCCATAGCTTGGAATTTGTCTTATTGCATCAATGAATGGAATATTAATGTGGAGTTTCCGTAGCACATCCAAAAACTTTTCAAACTGGTGGTCTTGCTGTTGTTTCTTCAACCTTTGTGGGAATCGAATAGGAGGCTCGTAAGTATTGATAGGAACGGTTGCCTTAACCTGTGGTGTATCTGAACTCTCTTTAGTAGATGCTTCTATCTTCTGTTCAGTCTATTCCACTTGCTCCTCATCTGAAGAAGGTGTTGTTTCCTTACTCACAGCAAATCTCTTGACATGAATTTTTGGCATGTGCACTCCACTCCTGGTAGTGATTGCGTTCCCAGATAGGTCCTCAATTCTTTCATTCCCCAA